CGCGGCGCCGTCGCTCGCGAGCCCCTCCACCGCCACCTGCTGCCCCTGCTCGGCTGCCAGCTCAGCTGCCAGCTCAGCTGGCGGAGGCTCCTGAAGCAGGCTGGCGGGCAGGGCGTCGCCGCTGCCTGCCAGGTGGGCCAAGGGCTGCACACAGGGTGGCACACAACCAGCACTGGGGGCAAGCTTGGCAGTGGCAAGCTCGGCGGCGGCGGCACACGGATCGGCGCATGCACATGCCAGAAGCGGCCCCGCTGTGTTTTCAGCTGGCGTGGCAGCGGCGGAAGCTGTGCGGCGCTCGCAGCTTCAGGGCAACCGCCAGCGCGGCACACGGCACACTGCAGGCACCCCGCCCGCTACCCACATCTTCTAGCATGGAAGCCGGCTCCAGCTGCGCAGGAATCTCCAGCCAGCCGCTCGCCTCGTGCGCCGCCGCCCCATCCCCCTCCTCCTCCTGCTGCTGCTGCTGCTGCTGCCGCTGCTGCTGCCGCTGCTGCTGCTCCCCAGCCAGGCCCGCTGCATGCGACTCGCCGCCGCTGCCGTAAGCTAGAGCCAGCGCCAGCCCGAGGTGCTCATCCCCCAGGCTGCCGGCCCCCAGCGCCAGCGCCAGACCCAGGTGCCGCTCGCCGCCGGCGGCGGCGGCGGCACCGGGCCCCTCGCCCAGCCCGCGCCCCGCCGTCCCGCCTGCTCCTGCGGGCACCTCTGCCTCTGCCTGCTGCTGCTGCGCCTGCTGCTGCTCATGCTGCTGCTGGTGCGGCTCCTGCGCCGGCGCCCCCACCGCCTCCAGGCAGTCGCTCAGCTCCTCCAGCATCCCAGCCGGGTCGGCGATGCGGGCGGGCACGTCGGCGGCGCGGCGGCCGCCGCCCGGGTGCAGCAGCCACTCGCGCAGCAGGCCCAGCAGGGCGGGCAGCCCGCCCAGCTCCCAGGCGCTGACCACCCCGGCCACCGCGGGAGCCACCCCCTGCCGCACGCACCGCTGCAGCCTGCATGCCACGCCGCGGAGGCAAAAGGCACACGAGCTGGGCGCGCAGCACCCTGGTTGGGCCGGCATGGGCATGGACTGGAGGGCCGGCGGCAGCGGGGCGCGCAGGCGGGGAGGCAACGCCTGGCACTGCCTGGCGCTGCACGCGCCGCAGACGCCCAGCCAGGACCTCCTCCAGGCGTGCTCGGGCGCTCGCCAGGGGGCCAGCCGAACCGCCAGCAGGGCCGGCACCCACAGGCATCTTTCCAGTGCAGCGCAAGCCAGCAGGGCAGGCACCCACCCACCCACCCACCTGAGCAGCGCGCTCTCCGCCGCATACCACATGAGGCGGCGGAAGAGCGGGAACTGGAACTTGGGGGCCACGCCCAGGCGGCGCTCGCGCCGGTAGCAGGCGGCAGTGGATGCGTAGTCGAGGGCGTGGAGGAAGTTGCCCGCCTGCGCCAGGTCAGCACGTCGCCAGGTCAGCACGTGCCAGGTCAGCACGCGCCAGGTCAGCGCGTTGTCGCAGCATGGACGGCACAGCGCAGCAGGGGCGTGGCCGCAGGCGGGCTGCAGGTGCAGGCGCAGCCCAGCCGCCGAGGGGGCCCGCCCCGAGGGGCCGCCTACCACCTGCCCTGCGCTAAGCTTCCTCCACACCACTTCCACACCACCCCCACACCACGGCCCCCACACCACCGATACCAGCAACAGCAACAGCGACAGCCCGCCGCCGACCCACCTACAGCCAGCGCGGCCTGTGGCGTGGACACGGCGTGCGGCCAGGCGCTGGGCAGCAGCAGCGTGTCGCCGGCGCTCAGGCTGATGCGCACCAGCCCCTCCAGCCTGTCCCCCAGCCAGCTGCTGGCCTGCAGGGCGGGCGCGTGTGCGTGGGTGTGAACGCGGGCACACGCAGCAGCGGACCAAGGGCGTGCCGCCGTGTGGCTTTGCAGCGCAACCACAACCGGCCGAAGCGCGCTCCTGCTGCTGCCGCTGCTGCTGCTGCTGCTGCTGCTGCTGGCCAGCGCGCACCTGCTTGCCGCTTGTGCTCCACTGCTCAAAGGCGGCCAGGTTGGCGGGGGTGTTGGGCGCCGCCAGGAACACCTTCCTGCCAGATATCATGTGGTACCACACTGCAGTACGGGCAGTACCACACGGTGCCAGGTGGGCACACATTGGACAGCGGGTGAGCAGCAGCGGCGGCAGCAGCCAAAGGCCGCAGCAGCAGGGTGAAAGGAGGCGGGGGTGCGGCGGGGCGCCACCCGGGCGCGACGCAGCGGGGCGCAGGCCACGTCATGCCTGGCGGCGCCGCAGCAGCGGCAGCCGCAGCCCACCTGCGCTACCTCCCATGTCCACATGCCAATCAGTGTAGGCGCCGGCGGGGCCTGCAGGCACAGGCACACAGCGCACAGGCGGGTCGGCACGCCAGCCAGCGCAGCACAGCGCACGCCTGGCGTGGACTGGCACCAGCCGAAACGGCAGAGCGCTCCTTGCTCCGCCTCCAACACCCGTCCGCCCAACCACACAACACACACACACACACACACACACTCCCACACGGGCGCCCACGCCCTCTGGCAGGCAGCAGCAGCAGCAGCAGCTCTGCCCTGCCGCTCACCCAGCAGCGCGTAGAGCAGCGTCTCGGGGCGCTCCGGCTCCTCGGGCGGCGCATCCTCATTCGAGTCCTCGGGGTCCTCCTCCGGCGGCCACACCGAGCCCACTAGGTCCAGCTGGCGTACCGCCCAGGGCGGGCTGATGGCGTCCTCCAGCTCGGTACCGGCCAGGGACAGGGAGACGACGTTGAGGAGGCGGTCGGGCGGGGGGGTGCCCCGCCGTGGCGGCCCTGCGGGCTGCGGCGACCCTGCCTGCTGCGCCTGCTGTGCCAGGTAGTCTGCCAGCTGGCGCAGCGTCAGCCTGGGGCCGCTGCCCTGGGTGGCCACATCGATGGTGGGCACCTGGAGGCGGGCGGCGGCGGTGGCAGGCACGGTCAGGTGCGAGGGAGAATCAGAAACCATTAGCGGCGTTGGCCCTGGGGCCTGGGGCCTGGGCGAAGGCCGGCACCTGCAAACCCTAAACCGCCCAGCGGGCCTTGCAGCTGCGCAGCCATGGCGCCGCGCCACGCAGCGCCAAGCAGGGCCAAGCAGCGCACCCAACACCTACCCTATGGTCAGGGCCCACGGCCGCAGCCAGCCCGCGCGGGGTGAGCTGCTCTGCGGGAGGCAGCTGCAGGCCCAGCGCGGCGCGCGTGGCCTCCACGCCGCCCCTGCCGCACGCTGTGGAGGGCACCAGCAGCGGCTGGCGCAGGCCGGAGGCCAGCAGCGCCTCTGCCGTGACCTGGGCCGGGTGGGTGGCGGCGGTGAAGGGCTGCGCGGGGGCGGCGCGCTCGACGCGGCTGCACAGCAGCGGGATGTCCAGGCGGCGGCGCTGGCCCTGCACCCCCTCCTCCTCCTCATCCCCGCCCAGCACCGCATCCAGCAGGGGGTGCTGGTCTGTGAAATTCAGCTGCGCCGAGCGGGGGCGCAGGAGGCGGCGCTCCTCGCTGCCGCTGCCGCTGCCCGGTGGCGCCTGGGCGCCCCGCTCCGCTGGACCCGGAGTGAGCTGATCTGGGCTGCGCTTTCGCATCGCGGCGCTGCTGTGGCAGCCTCAGGACAGCGAGTGCTGCAGAGGTGCAGAGGCGATGCCATGCGATCCCATGCCTGCACTATGCCAGTCGGGTCCCCTTGTGCGTATTCTGTGCAATCGCCGGGTGTGTGTGGAACACTGCACAGTGCTACTGGAAGCCCAACGGCTGCACTTCCACCGTGCGCTCTCCCGTCGCGTGCTCCGGCGGCCCTGGGGTCGGCAATTGAAGAAATTCAGGTGGATTAAATTGCGTCGCAACCCATGAATCATGCCAGCGGGTGTGGCGCCGTTGCCAGCAGGGCGGGCGCCAGGGCGGCCAGCAGCGGCACATGTCGGCGCAGAGAGGATGAAGCCTGTTTCAAACAAAGCCATGCATGCCTGTACTTGTACAAACTGTACATTGGTCACGTGTCTGCAGATTAATGAAAGGGGCTTCGACGTGCAGGGGGGCAAGGGGGCCTGGCGCTCGGCTATGACTCGGCAGGGTGGCGCTGAGCTCCACCAGCTCGTAGGGCAGATCCTCCCAGCCTCCAACATTGCCCTGTTCCAGTATGGCGGGGATGTTGGGTGCAGGCGCTGGAGATCTCAGTCTCCACAGCCCCTCAGCTTACAGGAGACTGCCATGTGCTGGCGACCGCCAGTGAATCAATACCAGGAAACAAAGAGAATTGACAGCACGATCTACCGGCAGTGCATGCGAGGCCCAACAGCAGCTCTCGATTGCGAAACAGGCACGGCATCTCTCAACTCTACAACGGCAGTTGTGCATGTTCCTCTGCTGGCCACGCCTGCCAGCCAGCCTGCACGGCCCGCACCGGCGCAGCCAGCCCCTGCGGAAGCCGGCCCAGCCCCGCACGCCCCGCGCGCCCGCCGACGGCCGCGCGGCGCCGCCGCCATCACCGCAGCGACTTGCGCTCGCTGTAGGAGGTCCAGCCCAGCGCGATCACCAGCAGCGTGTACAGCACGTCCTGCGCCGCCGACGGCGCGTCTGCGCAGCAGGGGCAGCAACACGTGTGTGTGTGTGTGGGTGGGTGGAGCGAACAGCACGGCACCAGGCATCGGCGGGGCCGGCCGTGCATGCGGGCAGCACAGGTGGCGGGCGGTGCGCCCAGCCGCCCGTGTCCAATATCTGAATCGCCCATCGCGCAGCGCGCCCACCCACCTGACTGCAGGTCTGCCGCCACCTCTGCCGCCAGCACAAAGGCCAGGAAGGCGAAGAGGTAGTAGCGCACCCAACTGCCCACCTCCGGCCGCGCCGCCTCCTTCACCTTGTCCGCCCGCTCCTGCACGCGCTGGGCAGGCAGGCAGGGGCGACAGCAGGCTGTGTGGGTGGGTGGGTGGGTGTGGTTGGCAGCACATGTGCGGTGGGAGCACATGTGCTGTGGGAGCACGTGTGTGGGTGCGTGTGGGTGGGGGTGGTGCGGCACAGCAGCGGCCAGGCAGGGGGTGGTGGTGCAGTGCCAGGTAGCCCTGCCAGCGAGGCTGCGGCATGCTGGGCTTGCTGGCCAGCTGCCTCTGCCTCTGCCTCTACCTCTGCATTTCCCCCACACCCCACCACTCACACGCGCCACAAGTAGCACACCCACCCCAGCCCACCTGCAGCTGCTCTGCGTTCATGCCCACCGGCCGCTTCTTGTTGGTCTGGTACAGCGTCTGGAAGAACTGGCCCTGGCTGCGAGCCACCGCCACGTCATCCTCCCACTGCTCCTGCTCGCGCTCCGAGGCCTGCGCCGGGCAGGCAGGCAGGCAGGGCGGTAACACAACGGCAGCAGGATGGCAGCGGGCAGGGGGGGACGGGGCCGGGTGGAGCAGCCACGGCGGGAGAGCAGGGGCGGTGGAGGGGGTGAGTCGGGCAACCAGCGGCGTCGACCGCGACCCAGGCCAGGAGGCGGCTCGCCATGCATGCCAGGGCCTCCATTCCATGCCCATCCACACACAATCCCACCAGCCACCCACCACCCACACAAGACGCACCTCCCGCTCCTCCCGGCTCTTCCGCAGCTGCTCCTCAAACTCATCCGCCTCGCGGTTGATGTCTGCAGCAGGAGGGGCGGCAAGGGTGCAGGCGCCGCAAGTGGGCACCAGCCGCCTGGCCCGCAACAGGCATGGTGGCGGGAGCTGTATGGGGAAGGCACCCACACCCACTCCCTCGCTCCCTACACACACCTGGAGAGTGTGGTTCACAGCCACACTCTCCCTCCCGCAGTCCCCACCCGCACGCACCCGGCACGCCGGCGCTTCCCAGCGGGCCCCGCCCCCACCTGCCAGGGCTGAGTTGAAGGCCACCTCGGCCCTCAGGTTCTGCAGGTCTGCCAGCTTGTCCAGCTCCGCCTTGGCATCCTCCGCCTTGGCCCGCAGCCCCTCCGCCTCCTCCTCCACAAACTCATCCACCAGCAGGCGCAGGCATGGGTGGCGTGCGTCGTGGCTTGTGGCGGTGCGGAACTTTGCGATCGAAGCAGGGAGATGTGCACGATTCTGTTGGATGGGAACGGCATATTGCGACAGTCCCAACCACTCCAAAACCCGGCTCCGGCCGGCCACACGTTCGTCAAGGGAAGCAGCGAAACCTGCGCACCCGCTTCTTGCCAATCTCAAACTGCAGCTGCTTGATGAGCGAGTCCTGCAGCCCGCTGTTGCCTTCCGGCACCTCCCCCTCCTCGGGGTGCGGCTGCTGTGGCCCGCTGCCTGCCGCACGGCCGGCGACGAGGCGGCGACGTGAGGGCGGCCGGGGCGGCGCCGCCCAGGCGGCTGCTGGGGTCCGCCCGCTGCAGCTGGCGGCGCTGTGCGCGTGGCAGCGCGCCAGGTGGGCTGCTGTCAGCGCCTGCATCGGTGTGCAGACAGCGATTGAGTGTTGTGAAGTGCTGCACGGCTGCTCTGAGCCGGCTGAGAAGGTGCAGGCACTTGGGAGATTCCGCTGGATTTCGCACAAGGGTCCTGGTGCTAAAGGAAGGCAAAGCACCACCGGCCAGCTCAGCCGAAACCAAGACGCTTGATCGGGGCGCCTGCCGTCCCAGGCGATCGCACCATCGTTGGTCGGGCCCAATTGCCACGCCTGGAGCTCCCCATCAGCCATGGCGCTGCTCAGCGAGCCCATCTTTCGCGACAAGCTGGACAAGCTCAACACCTCGCAGCAGAGCATCGAGCAGACGGCCGCATGGTGCCTGTTCCACCGCGCAGACGCCCGCCGGGTTGCCGAGGTCTGGGAGGCCTACTTCAGCAAGGCCGACCAGCCCAAGCGGCTGGCGATGGTGTACCTGGCCAACGATATCGTGCAGAACGGGTGCGTCAGGGACGGCGCAGGGCTGCTGGGCAGGCGGGCGGCGGCGGCGGCAGGCGGCAGTCCACGGGCCGGTCCTGCTCTGCACTGCTGCCTGCGCCTGTGAGCCGCCTTGCCGCATGCCCGCTGCATGCCCCCAGCACCTGCGCCACCTGTGCCAGCCGCTCAGTCAGGCAGCCCTTGCACCCAGCAAGCGCCGCTCGTCTCATGCTGCCTGCCGCCCATCTGCCCCTCCCCGCTCTCTGCGGCCCTGCAGGCGCAAGCGCGGCACCGAGTTCCTGGCTGAGTTCTACAAGGTACTGCCGCGTGCGCTGCGCCACGTACTGGCCAAGGGGGACGACAAGACGCGGGCGGCGGTGAACAAGGTCATCCGCGTGTGGGATGAGCGCAAGGTGGGGCCGAGGCGGCGGCATGACCGACGGCTGGGGTCAGCAGGGTTTTGCTGGCTGGCCGTGAGCGGTCGCCCCGCAGCGGCACGCCTCTCTCGGCCTTTTGGCTAAGATCAAGTGTAGTATCTGTTCTGATAAGTTTAATCGCTTGTCTGTCGCTCATTGAGCGACATTTCGATTAACTTTATCTTTCTAGGGGCCTCGGTCAGCTCCAGCTTGCTGGGCTGCCTTGGCACGCTTTTATAGGGAAGCGCACCAACTCCCTAGGAGAGCACCCTCTCCCCCTTCACCCACCCACCTCCTCACCTCCCCCCACCCATCACAATCCTCCCTTACCTCCACCAACCAATCCTCACCCTGCCTCTGCTCCACCTCCTCACTTCTGTCGCGCCTGCAGGTGTTTGGCAGCACCGGCTCCAAGACCTTCCATGAGCTGGTGCATGGCGCCGAGATGGTCACCAGCCCGAGGGAAGCTCGCAGCGGGTCCCAGGGGCAGCCGCCCTCGGAGCAGCAGCAGCAGGCCGCGGCGGCGCTTGCCGGCCCCGCCCCGCTGGCAGCAGCCCTGCAGCAGGCCTCTGCCGCTGCGCAGCAGACCATGCAGCTGCATGGCGCGGTGGCGGCAGCCGTGCCGCTGGCCCTGGGGCCTGCAGCCGGGGTGCAGCAGGTGGCGGCAGCGCACAGCGCGGTGCAGGGGCTGTGCGCGGCCCTGCGGCAGGAGGTGGGCAGCCGGCAGGCGGCCGCGGGCCACCTGCGCCAGCTGCTGGCCGAGCAGGAGGGCGGGGCGGCGCAGGCGGCGGCCCAGCTGCAGCAGGCCTCGCAGCAGCTGGCGCAGCTGGACGCCAAGCTGGCGCAGGCGCAGGCCTCTGCCCAGGCAGCAGCCGGGATGCAGCAGCAGCAGCCAGCGCAGCAGCAGGCGGCGGCCCCCTGGGGTGGGGCCCCGCCCGCCGCGGCGCAGCCGATGCAGACGCAAGAGGGCGGCGAGGCGCCGGCGGCAGCTACCAGCGAGGAGGCGGCGCAGCTGGCGGCGGCGCTGGCTCGGGACCGAAACTCGGCGGAAGCTCTGCTGGCGGCTTTCATGGCGCTCCCGCAGGTGGGCAGCCTGGCTGGGCGGGGATGGACCAGCAGCTGCCTCACGCTTTCGCATTGCGCTGCCGGCAGCCCCGCAGCCCTCTCGCGCCCTGCCCCTGCTGGCGCCCTGCTGGGACGTGCGCCTCTCCACCCTCCGCCTGCCGCCTGCCGCTCGCCCGCTGCCCGCCCGTGTGCGCAGGACCAGCAGGAGGGGCTGGGTGCTGAGCTGGCGGGCTTTCTGCAGCCCGAGGCGGCGGTGGGGGCGGCGGCTGAGATGGAGGGCGGGGACGACCTGTATGATCCAGAAGACCTCTGACTGCTGCCCGCGCTGGGCCTGCTGCGTGCTCTGCCTGCTGTCGCCCACCCCCGCTTGCCTCGCCCCGCCTCGGCGTCATTGCTTCCCCTGGTAACATCACATCACAGCAGGATGTGGATGCAGGCGGCATGCCGCGAGTGAGGCAGGCGGGCAGGCGGGCAGGCAGGCAGGCAACGTGCATTGGAGATGGCGGGCAGGCAGGCAGGGAGGCAGGCGGGCAGGGTGGGCATGGGGGATGGTGGGCGTGCTCAGCAAAAGAGATCTGTCAACTGTGTCAGCGAAAGCCATGATAGTATCGGATCGTAAGGAGCAGGGTGGTGGGGTTCAAAAGGAGAAGGTGCAGTGGAAAGGGAAGGGAGCCAGTTTGGCAGTTCTGGCAGCCGGCAGCGGCACTCAGGGCGTGCCAGATTCAACCACCATGTCTGTTATCATCTGGTGCAGGCGCTTGTCGTGCAACACAATCCCGCCGCCGCCACGCTTGCGCTGCGGGATAGTGTTGTTGCAGTCACCCACCATCACCAGGTGCTGCTCCTTGCACACCGCCATCTTGGCGTGCTCGCTGCCTAGCGAGTAATCGGGCTTGCCGTCCGCTCTGCGCCCAGGCACTGTGAGCTGGGTGATGTTCATCACGGTGCTTGTGGAGACGCATCTGCGATTCTCTTCCTGTGGTGGAGCAAGGGTGGACATGGCGTTGCACAACTCAAGCGCACTGCACCACATGCACGTGAATGGCAACGGGGCATATGGCAGCACAGAACACCCACCCATGCACACGGGCACCCCTGTCCCGCCATCTCATCGCTGCCTGCACTTACGATGTTCCTGATGCAAGTTCGCACCAGCCAGCAGCCGCCGTAGTGCCCCGCAAGAGACTTGTAATAATCAGCGCCATCATCTTTCTCATCCATGCCGGACTTGGCATAGTGAGAAACACCAGCACTGCACATTGGTGTTCAGCCGGGCGCGATGTGGCACTCCAGTGCAGTACATTGCCCCACACCACGCAGGGAAGATTGGATTTCCACCTCCACTGCACCTGAGCTGCATGTCTCGGTAGTTGGCTGGCGACTGCGCGTTTTTGCGGAAGTCAAGTGCCGTGTGCTGGGGCCACGCATAGTACACCCTTGCCTGCAAAGATGGACACCACACAGGTGTGCATCACAGATGCAGCAACATCACACTCAGCCCTGTCTTTTCAGGGGCTGTGGAACTTTGTGAGTTCAGCTGCTCAGTGAGCAGCTCCTGCCACCACGTTACCAGCCGCACCTGCATGTGCTGCACCTGGTCCTGGATATCCTGCAATGCCTGCCGCGGAAACACCACCCACAGGAAGGCCTGTGCCTTCTGCTTTTGTTTTTCATCAAACGGTGGCAGGCCGATGCTTGGATCGAAGCCCAGGGGAGAGCAACTAGGGACAGGGCGGGGCCAATTAGGAGCGGAGTGCACCAGCCAGCCCACCGAGTCCTGGTTCCACATCACAACGCCCTTGGCGTGGCCAAAGGCCGAGTTGTCTGCATTGAATGAAAAGGTCGCACACGGCAGAAGCCTGGGTGCAGTTTGCTGTGGGTGCCAATGGTGGTCAGCCAGTTCAGCAGCTCACCGCTTTCGTCCGGCGGCTCGTTGTTGTACATCCAGCAGCCCTGGACATCAGGCAGCTTGACATGCTCCCGGACCCATGTGTTAATGTCGTCCCACTGGAGCAGCTCCTGCTCATGCAGCATGATTGAATCAGCAGCAAATGCACCCCATTGACTGGGCATTTTGTAGGCGAAAGCCCACCGTGCCTGGCCCGAGGGCGGCAGGTGGGATGCGTCGCCGCCACTGGGTGGCTTGGCAGCTGCCGCAGCAGCGCCCGCCCCAGCGCCGCCACCAGCTGCAGCCACCATGAACTGCTGCTGGTCGAATTTTCCAGACTCCAGGTCAATGTCCATGATGTCATCGCCCCCGCCGCTGGGCTGGTGGCACTTGTGGCGGCAGCAGAACCAGAGCAGGAGAACTGCAAGGAGGGCACGGCATGCCGGCCGCGTGACTGGAAGGCAGATGGACTTTCAGCAGCAAGCTCATCAATGAGTAGGTAGGCAGGCACGCGGGCAGGCGAGCAGGCGGGCAGCCGCATGCAGGCCTGCCATGCAGGCCTGGCAGGCAGGCACACGAGCAGGTAGCCATCAGGCAGCGCACCGCGGCACCCACCTGCCACGACTGCAACCCCCACGGAGCAGCCCACAATGATCCAGGTGGTGGTGCTGGTGCCTCCACCGTCGCTGTCACCGCTGCTGGGACAGAGGCGCCGCCAGAGCTGCTTGGGTCGGAGCTGGAGCCTGAACTGGCACTGCCGGCAGCCGGCGCCTCTTCAGGGCCAGCATCGATGTTGGGCTCTGGGCGGTTTGCCGTGCTCGTGTCGTCGGTGGTGCTTGTGGCATCGGTTGCAGGCTCATCACCGCAGCTGCCGGTCTTGTAGACCTCCAGCCGCATGGGGCAGGGGTGGTCGGAATTCAGGCAGCTGATGACAAACTTGCCAGGTGACAACGAGGGGCACTGGGAGTATAGTGGCGCGTCGATGCAGCCGGCATCAGAATAATACTCAGCCAGGGCATTTCCGTCTGCATCTAGGAGGGTCACCAGGAATTCGCTGGCCCCATCCGGCCCATCAGCATCCTGCAGGTCAGGCGGCAGTGGTGGCCGGGCGGGGCACCGGGGCGGCGGCTTGCATGCCACGGCAACTGGCGAGCACAACCCGTGCAGCCCGATTGAAACGGATGGCTTAGCTCACAAATGTGGAAGCCGCAAAGAAGAACTCCTCCAAATTGTCTCCAAGTGTCTTCTTCTTGGAATCCCCTGCACCAACACTCCCCTCCCACCCATCGTCGCCCGCCGACATGTCATCGCAGAGCGGATAGCCGCTCTGCGCCAAAGCGCGCCCCGACCTACACATGGCACATGGGCTTCAGTGAGCTGGTTGGTGCCCGAAAACCGATGGGGTGGCACGAGACAGCCAAATTGGTACTTGAGCATGGCGCCAGGGTTTATCATACCTCTCAATTGGTGCCGCTGCCGCGGACCAGAACATCACTGCGAGCAGCAGGGCCCTTGAAAATGCAGGAGAAGTGCGCTTCATGTCGGGTGTCGCTGGATGGCAGGAGGGCGGCAACAAAATGCAGCAGGCGGCCCTGCGTGTTTGTGGAGCACCTGCAAGTGAGCAATAATTGACTGATCTGCGATGACAGAGCGCGCACCATGCCAGGATCGGGCGCCTGGACAGGCAGGACGGTGACGTGCACACACCCTTGCGCGGCAGCGTGCATGCTCCAGCTATCCCTGAGAAGCTAAGTTGTGGTTTTGAAAGCTGAGAAGGGGGGCTAAATCTGCAGCGGCGGGGGTGGTGCTGCCGTCGTGGGGCCGCCGCCACGGCGCCGCCGCTGGGGCCGCCACTGGCACCTTGGTGCAAGGATTTGCCGCCAACTCTGGCGAACACCTTAGCCATGCCGTGGCGCTCTTGAACTCACTTGCAGTACGCGAATTAATCAATCATAGTGTCGCAGACCACAATGCATTGGTGGCGCCCACGTGGGCAGAGGAGCCGCAGCAGCCTGCGGGGCCTGACGCCCCGCCGCCGCACGCGCCGCCGCCCCCGCACACACAGCAGCAGGCGCGGGAGCCCCAACGGCAGTCCCAGAAGTGGAAAACAAAGGTCAATCATCATCATCCCAGCCAGCCAGCCGGTGGGCGGGCAGACGGCCTGGCGGCTCGTGGGCAGCGACGTGGTGGTGCAGGAGAAGCCCGAGGTGGGCACTGGGCTGCTCCCTTGCCAGCGAGCACCCCTGGCGCTACCCCCGCCACCCTCACCCTGCCTGCAGGCGGCGCTGCGCATCGAGGAGGAGGCCAGGCAGCACTTTGCCGCCCACCTGGGGCAGCACGGAGACCGCCAGCCCTGCTGCGGGACACCACCACCACCGCGCCACCACCACCACCCGCACGCCAGGCGTGGTCCAGGCACCAGGTGGCCCGGGCACCAGCATCTCAGTGAGGGTGCAGCGACGGAAAGCACTCTCCCAGGCCACCCAGCCTCCCCAACCCTAGGCCCACACCATCCTTTCCCGCCCACACCACACCTGGGCGGTGGCGGCGGTGCGCCAAGCAGCGTGCCACTGCAGGCGCGACAAAAGTGAGGAGCCAGAGGATTGGAGGGTTATTGGGTGTGAAGTGAAGGGGGTGAGGGAGGATTGTGATGCGGGGGAGGTGAGGAGGTTGGTGGGTGAAGGGGGAGAGGGTGCTCTCCTAGGGAGTTGGTGTGCTTCCCTATAAAAGCGTGCCAAGGCAGCCCAGCAAGCTGGAGCTAACCGAGGGCCCTAGAAAGATAAAGTTAAATCGAAATGTCGCTCAATGAGCGACAGACAAGCGATTAAACTTATCAGAACAGATACTACACTTGATCTTAGCCAAAAGGCCGAGAAAGGTATGCTTTTCGGGTGAAGGGTGGATTGGGCTGCCCCGGGGGAGGGCGGGTTGGGGACGCTCTTGATTATGGGGCCGCGGAGCGCGCATTTCATTTCATTTTTCATTTCTACTTCTTCTTTTCTATCTTTTCTTAGAGAGAGCGGTTAGAATTGCGGGGCGGATCTAGGTGAGGCAGGAAACCCAGTTTCAGGTGGCGTGAACACGTGGTGAAGACGTCTGCGTTTTCTCGCAATCTGTATGACATCATACTGGCTCTAGGGCATGGTGGCGCGTGCCGTCAGGTGTGCGGGGGGTGTCAGGGTCAGGTGTCGCCAGCAGATGGGGGTGTCAGGTGTCGCTGGGAGGTTTGAAGCAAATCAATCATCGTCCCAGCCAGTCGACGCCTCCTCCAGCAGGCTCCCAAGCTGGCCGGCCGCCTCCTTCGCCCGCCGCGCCGCAGGCTCAGCTCCAGGCTCTGCGCCATGCGGGTCCAGGCGTCCACGGCGCTCTCCAGGTGCTCCACTTGGTCGACAGCGCCGGGAGCGGTCAGCACATCCTCCAACGCGTCTGGGAGCTGCGTGAGCAGCAGGTGCCTGATGGCCAGCCCCCGCTGCTCGGCCGCCGCCTCCGCCGCCTGCTGGGCCTGCTGGGCGCCGCCCCCTGCTGCCGCCTCAGCCTGCTGCGCCTGCTGGGCACCGCCCCCTGCTGCCACCTCCGCCTCCTCGCCTGCTGCCTCCTCGCCTGCAATGTCGGCCTCCAGCAGGTCCAGGGCCAGCTGCACCAGCACCCCCTCATCCACACCCGCGGGGATGAGCTGCAGCCGCGCCGCCGCCGCCTGCGCATCCCGCAGCAGCCAGGTGGCGCTGCACGCAGGCGCAGCCGTCGCTGCCACGCTCCTGGTTGTCCCGCCTGCGGCCGCCGGGGCGGGGAGGTAGGGAGGGGAGGGAGAGGGGGGTGGGGCTGCGGCCCTGCTTGGCGGCGCTGGTAAGGCGTGCACCACCACCACCCGCACCACCCAGCGCCACCACCCAGCGCCAGCTCACCCGCGCGCCAAGCGCACGTTGTGGATGCACAGCACGTGGTCCACGCCGCCCTCCCCCGCCTCCAGCACGTCCGTGTGGGGGATGGGCCAGACGTGGTCCAGCTGGCCGAAGCACCAGTGCTCCAGCCCCACAGCCGCCGCCTCCGCGTCCAGCATCTGGCACAGCTCGGTGAGGGTGTGGCCGCGCAGCAGGTGCCGGGGCGGCGGCGGCGGCTGCAGCTGCGCCAGCATGCTGCAGCAGCTCGTCAGGCAGCGTGCCGATCACCGTCAGCATGCGCTGGTATGCGCTCATCTGGCAGCTGGCGAGCGCTGCTGGGACGGCACGCCCTCTTCCTCGTCGTCCGAGAGCACTCCTGCAGCCAGCGCTGCCGGCAGCGCCGCCGCCGCCCCGCCCTGCTCGACGGCGGCTGCGGGCGCCGCGTGCCGCCCCGGGCCCAGGAGGGACAGCAGGGCGGGGGCAGAAGCGTGGAAGCGCTCCCGTGCCTGTTGTTGCTGCTGCTGCGGCTGCGCTTGCTGCTGCGCCTGCGCCTGCTGCTGCGCCTGCGGCGCCTGTGCCTGCGCCTGTGCCTGCGCCTGCTGCGCCTTCGCCTGCCAGGCCAGGCCTGCAGGCGCCAGCAGCTGGTGCTGCTCCCGCACGAGCTGCTGCACGTGGCGCAGCTGCTCGGGCGCCGCATCTGGCAGCTGCAGGGTCGCCATGTGGCGGATGGAGACGGGGCTGGCGGTGAGGATGAAGTGGTGCGCCTCCGCACGCGCCTCGGTGGGGAAGAAGGCATATTTCTGCAGCAAGAAGGGGGCGTGGTTGTATTATGTGTGCTTGTGTTCATGTGTGTGCCCTATTGCAAGTTGGGCACTTACGACGGCGCGCTGGCGCATAGCCTTCATCCACCAGGGGTTCTTTTCTTTCAAGTTGGTCACCAACGTCACGCCCCAGAAAAGGCTGACCTGCCCATCCCTGTTGGTGTGGGGGCTGACCAGCTCTTGTGCAACCTGAGCGCCCGCCGCCTCCGCCACCTGCCGCCGGAACTGCTCCAGTTCCAGCATCGTGTGCTGCGGCCTCGCTGCCATCCAGCAGTCACACGGTCCGTTTGCTTGGGCGCTAAAGAGCGGCCGCGGGGCAGGCCCGAGGCAGGGAGTCGAGGAGGCTGGGTTTGGCGTCGGCTGGGACTGGGGCTGGGACGGTATGAGGGCCCGGAGGAGCGACCTTAGGACCTGTTTGGGCGCATCTGAGCCTTAAGAGGAGTGCGTGCTGTTCCACGTGTAAGTGGCTCATGCTGCTATAGCAGCTCGCTCTCTTATGACGATTATTTGCCGTGCGGTGTCTTGGAGGTCGAGGCAGAGCAAGCATGTGCAGGGAGGATGGAATGTGCTTATGAGCAAGCAAGTGTGGTATTTGTTTTCCCCGCACGTTCATGAAGTTGACAGGGACCAGCTGGGGTGCCGCGAGCGGTGCGCCCTGCGCCAGCGGCGGCGCTCCAAAAATGGGATGCTGGGGTGTCTGGCGGCCGTAGCTGCGCCTGCGGCCTGGCGGCTCGCGGGCAGCGACGTGGTGGTGCAGGAGAAGGCCTGAGGTGGGTGGCTTGGGCTGCTCCCCTGCCAGCAAGAACCGCCTGGCGCCACCCCCTCTCACCCCTGCCACCCTCAGCATGCATGAATCCGCCGCTGCGCAACAGAGCATCCACCAAGGCGCCCAGGCGCGGTGGCGGCAGCCGTGCCGCTGTGGCCGGGGACGCAGCAGGTGGGGCGGCGCACGGCGCGGTGCAGGGGCTGTGTGCGGCGCTGCGGCAGGAGGTGGGCAGCCGCCAGCGGACGCCTCCTTTACCTATACCACCTCTCAGATAACCAGTAAGTAATATCTGAGTTAGGACATCAGATCACCTCCACATGAAAAATCTCAAAGGCAAACACCCGGGCCGCCTCGGCCGCCGCCTCCAGGGCAGCGACCACCACCGCCAGGAGACCCCTGAAGACCCGGGCTGCGTCGTCCTCCGCCGTCACCGCCTCTGCCGCCGCCTCCGCCGCCGTTGCAGCCGCCTCGCAGGCGGCCGGCTGCCGCGACAGCAAGTCTCCAACAGACGGCAGCCCCTCCACGAGATGGCAGTCCTCCCGCTGGTACTGCTGCATCCTGAAGCACACCAGCATGATGACGCCCCAGGCCTTCTCCAGCGCACGCAGCGGCGCCTCCGCCGCCGCCGCCTGAGCCGCAATCACCGGCTGCGCTGCCCTGATGGAGCCGCGCACACGCTGCGCCAGGTCATAAGTCACCTGCAGCCGCCGCTCCACGCCCAGGGTGGATGCCCACCACAGCAGCCGCCCCACATAGTCGCCGCGGATGGGCTGGAGAGCGGCATGCCCGGCCGCGGCCTGCTGCTGCTGCTGCTGCTGCTCCGCTGCCTCCTCCTCCGCCCGCAGGCCTGCCACCTGCTGCTGCTGCTGCTCCTCGGCGTGCGGCTGCCAGCTGGGCGGCGGCGGCGGCAGCGCCTCCGCCCCCGCCTCCGCCGCCATGTATGGCTCCAGCAGCCGCAACACATAGCCGGCCACCCGCTGCTCGATCTCTGGGCGTGCTGCCAAGGGCACCCCCGCTGCCTCCACGTAGCGGCGCGTGCTCCGCGCCACCACCCACTCTGCAAGCCGCCTGTCGATGGTGAGCTGCTGCCCGTCTCGCCCAAGCGGCTGCCACAGCCGGCCGCCCCGCGGCGGTGAGCTGGGAAACCAGAGCCGCGGGTCGCCGGTGGCGACATACAGGCGGTAGAGCCAGGCGGTAGAGCCAGGCGACGAGTGGCGCCCAGTTGCCTGGGTGGGGGTGGGAGGGCGGGCGCCGCGAGAGGGATGAGCATGCGCCACGCCTGCGTCCGAGCTAAGGGCAGGGCAGGGCAAGGCAGGCGGGCGGCGCACCCGTTCCGCCCACCTGACAGGAGCATGCGCGCATACAGCTTGGCGTCGCCGATGCAGAAGGTCCACAGATCGCACGTCATGCTCTCCACCAGCTCGGGCAGCATCCACGGCTGCAGCTCGGCTGGGGCGCTGCCCAGCTCGCAGTCGGCGCGCGGGCAGCCCGGCAGGTCTGCTAGCGCGGGGTCCCGCCGCTGCTGCGGCGGCGGCGGCGGCGACGGCGGCTCCTGCTCCTGCCGCTCCTCCTGCCTCTGCCGCTGCCGCTGCCGCTGCCGCTGCCGCTGCTCCAGAACCTGCTGCCTCTGCCACACGTGGTGCTCGGCCGCCTCCGCCTCAATCTGCGCCACGCGCTGCACAAGGCGTGCATGGATGGAAGGGGGGTGCGGCACATGCATACGTCGGCAGATGCAAGCGCCTGCTTCCACGCCTTCCTCCACGCCGCTTTCCCCCCAAAGCCAGCCCCACGCCAGCCCGCCAGCCAGCCTCTCGCTGCCTACCCTGCGACGCAGAACCAGCAGCCGCACCAGGGGCGGGTGGCGCAGCGGCAGGTGCAGCAGCTCCTGGATCTCAGCCTCTCTGGCGGTGCGCAGGAAGTGGAGGGCGGCATTGGGGAGGCACAGAGGCACAGGTTCGGGATGAGGAGCGGCGGCGGGCCGCGGAGGCGGAGGCTGCTCACCAGCCTTCACCTGTTGTTGAGGGTGTCCCCATTGCGCCCGGCCCGGACGTAGGTGCGCCCCCAGTGTAGGAATATGGAAACCCCCAGCCACACGCTGCTGTGAGGTCGGGGGGACACCAGCAGCCTGCGTGGGGGTTTCCATTTATCCATTTGTCCAAACGTTGAGCTTGGTGGTAGCAGTGTTGCACAACAGGCAAGCCTCAACAGCCCAGCGACAGTTCTCAAATCCTTGAGAAGTGTGCCTTGTGGTTATGCTTGCATGGTTTGATCGAGTCAACCTCAGCGACTCAGAAACAACGGGCTGAGCACTCAACGCCATGTAACATCAACCAGAGAGGTGCAGCGACCTGCTCAATGGTGAAACAACACAGCGAACAATCCACCAGCCTCACGGCTGCGGCCCCACATGCTGCTGCCTCTCATCCGCTGCATCCCCGCCTGTTGCTTCCATGCCTGCTTCCGCTGCCCCTGCCGCCGCCCCGCCTGCCGGCCGCTGCTGCTGCTGCGCCCGCTGCTGCGCCTGCAGCAGGTCGGCCAGGCGCTGCACCTCTGCCTTGAGCTGCACGTACGTGCCCCTGTCCCAGCCGCAGCGCTGCAGCTCCTCGGCCTCCCACCGACCCACATGCCGCTCCAGCGCGCTCTCCCTGCACGCACCCCGCGGCGGCAGCAGGCGCTGAAGCCCCCTCCTTGCCTGGGATGCGAGCAGCACGGCACAGGCGCTGGCCCTGGCTGCGCACGGCTGGCACGCCTGGCTGTGCCTGGCTGGGCGGCGGCCTGGCCTGGCCGGCAGGCGCAGCGCCAGCCACCCCGGGGGGCCGGGGCTGGGCGTGCTGTAGTTCTGCTCTGCTGCTCACTCACCAGTTGAACTCCTTGCGGTAGACCATGAAATAGAAGTAGGCGGCCTGTGGGGGACACACAGGCAAGCAGGCAGGCAGGCATCAACAGACATGCAACGCGTGAGCTTTCTAGGCACCCACAGGCAGCAGGCCAGCACGCGACGGCAGGCGGGCGTGCAGCTGGCTGGGTTGTGGGTGGTGAGGGCTGGGCTGGGCTGGGCTGGGCTGGGCTGGGCTGGACTGGGCTGGGCGCTGGAAGCGCCGTCGCCCCCTGCCCCCTCCCCTCCCTGCCTTCAACCAAAGGCCCTCTCACCAGCGCCTGCGCCGAGGAGACCAGGAAGCAGACTGGCTCCATCACGTCCCACCTGCAGCGCGGGAGCGGGGGCAGGGAGGGTGGGCAGAGCGAGCGGTGCTGGATGAGCACCGGGAGGTGGCACGGCGCGGGAGGTGGCACTGCGCGTCCAGCTGTAGGCAGCGCGGGGCAGGCATACCGGCCACAGGCGGCGGCGCCGCGGCTGCAGCAGCTGCAGCGGCTACAGCGGCGGGCGGGCTGAGGAGGCACAGCGGGTGGGGCGCAGCGGGCGGCACTCACGACAGCTCGTAGAAGGTGAGGCGGAAGACGACAGCCCACAGGGCGACCTGCGAGGCCAGCCCGCTCCACATCAGCGTCTGCTGGCGCAGCCTGGCGCGCCGCCCCACTGCCGACTGCTGCCCCTCCAGCTGGCACAGCTCGCGCTCCGCCGCCGCCAGCCGCTGCCGGGTGGTCTGCGCGCAGCCTGGGAGCACCTGCGACCAGCCGGCCGCCGCGGAGCAGCAGGCAGCACAGTGGGGGGGCCAGGCGGGGTGGCTATGTGTCGCTCGGCAATTCCCCCGGGCCGAGCGCCACGCAGCCAGTGCGACAGCCGCTGGCGCTCAGAGGGTGCAATGGAGTTGGCCATTCTGGCGGCAAGAAGGTGCAGCCCAGCCAGCCGGGCACCAGGAAGGCGCAGGCGGCAGCCACCATCAGCGGCGCACCAGCGAGAGGGCCTCGGCCACCTCCCCGGGCCGCAGGATGACGGTGCCCGCCAGCGTCAGCACCATCCCAGAGCGCTCCAGCCTGCCCAGCACATCATCAGCTGCTGCCGTGGTCAGCCCTCTGCAGGGCGGGGGGGGGGCGAGCATAGCATCTGAGGTCGCAAAGGCAGGGAGGACGGGAGGGCGGGGGGCATGCAAGGCGGCCCCCCGCGGGCCGCACGCGGTGGCAGAGTTGCCGACCCTTGTCGCTCGCTGCCAGGGCTGGCCGACAAGCCACACCTTTGCCGCATGAAGTCCATCAGCTCCAATTGGGGAAGGGAGAAGGTGTCGTGGGTCATGGGCTGCAGCTCGTGCATCCAAAACTGCTGGCAGCGCAAGGCGTTCATAATCTCCGTTGGCTCTGTTGGTGCAGAGCCGCTGCTGAGCCACGACACGAGGTGGAGGGCTGCGGGGGAGTGTTTGCCACGGCCCCGACGGAGTATGCTGTTGAATTGGCGCAGCGCCATCGATCCCAGGGCGTCAATGTGCCAGAGACGGTAGGGAAGACCGCAGATGCACTGCCAAAGCCCCGATGATCAATCCGTGCAGTACATCCCCGCCGCAGTGTGGCCATCTCCAAGCCGCTGCCTGGCTGGCAGGCTGCGCTGGGCTGCAAGGCCGCTCATGTATCCGCCTAGTGCATCATCCTCTTACCAATCACAACCTGCAGCATCTGCTTTCAGCTGCGTGTCGTGACCAATCGCTCGCTCGGGCGGCGCCGCACATTCTTACTACTGAACCACTTAAGCGTCGCGGGACGTTCCCGCAGTGTATCTGTTCCCTGATGCACTGATGTGATGTAATCACATTTTCAGGGCATATCAACAGGCATAGTTGCAGTGGCGGGAGCCCACCGGCCGCGTCGCTGCTGGCGGCGAGGGCGGGCGGCACCACAGGCGCGAATGCAAGGGCGCGCCAATCGGCGCATCTAACCAGGCCCCGCTCTGCGGATTTCAGGAACTCGCCGGGCTGTTGGGCTCATCGTGTCCGAGGACAGCCAGCTCCATGCTGCGACCTGGACAGCGCCTCACGCCCTCGCCACTGCCTCCCACGAACACATTTCGAGTTCCTGGCGGGGAGTTGCAGCGTGACAGAAAGCGGCTGGGCCCACTGTGTGCGCGAGGAGACCGCCTTGCAGCGGGGGCTGAACTCGGCGCACAATGAGCGCGCCGGTGGCTGGGGGTCCGCCCTCAGGGGTATCATGTCATCCCACGGTGTACCAAAACACTGGGGCGAGCATACTGAAGGATGAGGTGGGTCTACTCGGGGCCATGTTGCAGCGGGCTGTGCACTGCACGCTGCCAGGCCACCAGCATTACTACAGTGGCTGTGGGGCGGGCCCAGGGGCGCTGCAAGGGCAGGGCACGGCGCCATCCCTCAGGGGCCAGGCTGCGCAACACGCGCGTGGGCGGGGTTTGGGGGCCTGGCTGGCTGCCCAGAGGGTCCCTGGTAACCCCAAGCCCCCGCAGTCTGGCCATCCCTGGGGCAGGGCCCACTTGCCCTGGCTGGGGAGCGGCAAGCCCTACGCAGCGCTCACCCTCGGGGCTTTGCCCAATGAGCAGTGGGGAGGGTCGATCCGGGCAATGTGGCGGCGGCAGGGCCATCGCCCTGCAGCGCAGGGCCGCCACCTGCCCGGCGCCGCCGCCCAAGCTTGAACAGGTCAACGCCGCGCGCTGCCCTCCCTCCTCTCCAACACGCGCCGCCTCGCTGCCCCCACACTCGCCCCCGCAGGACGTGTTGTTAGTGGAGCACCAGCGGCCATGGCCCGGGTGCGGCGGCGGCGGCGAGGAGGCGCGGTGCGGCGGCGGCGGCGGCGACGCCCCCTCCACCGGCTCCGCCCGCTGCTCCTGCTGCGGCGCAGACACTGCCGAGTACTCCCTCTTCGCCGTGTTTGACGGCCACAACGGCGCGGCGGCGGCGCGCCTGGTGGCCGAGCGGCTGGTGGGCATCCTGGAGGAGCGGCTGCCGCAGGGGGTGCCGCCGCCGGCCGCCAGCCCGACGTGGGTGCCCTGGCGGGAGGACATCCAGCTGGCGCTGGTGGAGACGATGGCGGAGCTCAACCGCCTCTTTGCGCTCAAGGGCATCCTGGCAGGGTGCACAGCCACGCTGGTGCTGCAGGTGCGGGGGCAGGGCAGGCCGCGTGCGGGGCCGCACCCGCCGCCCGCCGCGCCGCATGTCGCGCGCGATCGGGCACATAAGCCGTGGCGGGCGTGGGCGCGCGCGGGGGCAGCCGCGCCGCCGCCCCAGGCCCGCGGCGGCCTGCGGGCCCGCCAGCCCGCTCGCCTCCTCTGGCTGAGGCCCTGCCGCACGCCGCCCAGCCTCGAACCGCGTGTGTTGTGCGCCGCCGCCGCCGCCGCTGCGTGCCGCCCGCAGGTGGGCTGGCTGCTGACCTGCGCCAACCTGGGCGACTCCCGCGCCATCCTGGACACCGGCCTGGAGACGCTGCAGCTGACAGGTGCGCCGCGCAGGCGGCGGCGGCGAGGCGGGGGTGCAGCGCAGCAGGGGCGCCGCCGCGCGCTCTGCCGCAGCCAGCAGGCGCCTGCCGCGCCCCACGCGGGCGCGGCGAGGCGGCGTGGCTCGTCACGCCCCCAGGCGTGCCCGCGCCGGCTGCCCAGCTCCTGTGAAGCGCCGCCGCTGCTACCTGCCTGGCGCCAATCCACCCACCCTCCCGCCGCACCCACACACAAGCACCCACCCACCAACCCACCCGCCCTCCCTCGCCTGCAGTGGACCACCGCGTGGCCACGCACAAGGGCGAGCGGCGGCGCGTGGAGGCGATGGGCAACACCATCGCTCCCATCGACTTCACAGGCTCCGGTGGGTGGTGGGGGTGGTGGGGGTGGGGTGGGTGTGGGGTGCCTGCCTGCCGGCTGCGCCCCAGCTCCCAGCTTCCTGCGCCTGCCTGCAGCGCCTGCCTGCCTGCAGCGCCTGGGCCGGCTGGCCTGCTCTGCCGGGGCTGCTGCGCGCGTTAGGCCAGAGGGGGCGGCTCTGCCGGGCAGCTGGCGGGCGCCCTCGCAGCCACCCTCTCCCCCGCCCGCCCTGACCTGCTGCCCCCGCTCCTCCCCTGTTCTCTCCTCGCCCACCATGCTGCCTCTGCGCAGGCCCCGCCACGCGCGTGGACAACGGTGTGGGCCCGCTGCGCATCTGGCCGGGAGGCCTGTGCCTGTCTCGGGCGGTGGGCGACTTTGATGTGGGGGACTCGGTCATCCCCTTCCCACACATCATGCAGGTGCGGGGGCGGGTGGCAGGCAGCATGGGCAGGCGGTGGCGGCATGGGGAGGCGGCGGCAGCAGCAGTGGAGGCAGCCAAAGTGGCGTGTGTGCAGGGGCAGCACGGGGGACGGCGGGAGGCAGCAGCTGTGCCCGCAGCAGCTGCTGCTTGCCCTGCCCGCCCCGCCGCCACGTGCCTGCCTCGCGGCCCGCGCCTCCCTCACCCTCCGCACCCCGCCGTCTCCCTGCCCTCGCCCCCGCGCTGCCCCCCAACGCAGGTGGTGGTGCCCCCCACGGGCGCGCGCCTGCTGGTGGCCAGCGACGGCGTGTGGGATGCGTATGAGAAGATGAGCCGCATCGGGTCCATGCTGCGCAGCTGGAGCCTGGACCTGTGCCCGCAGCGGCTCATACAGGTGCGGCAGCTTCCATCCCGCCACTGCCTGCTCCCGTGTGCGCCTGCTTTCGCATTTCAAACGCAAGGGCGGGCGGCCTGGCGCGCGGCGGCGGCGGCTCCGGCGGCGGCTGGCTCTCGCCTGAGCTGGCCATGCCTGCACTTGCTCACCCCTGCCAATCCCGCCGTGTGCCGCAGTCAATTGTGCGCGCGTATGGGGGCCTGCGGGACGATACCTCCCTGGTGGTGGCAGACATCCTGCCCCCAGGCAAGACCTTCCCAGAGGCGGTGCAGGCGGCGCAGGCACGCGCCAAGCTGTCCGGCGTGTCCATGAGCGCCGCCGCCGCCTGCACC